GGGAGGGCAGACCCGCTCTCATCCAGCACCCAGGGTACAGATAAGCTATGGCCTTGTCTACACAGCAGTTCTCAAACCCCTTTGTTTAGTCTTAAGAAAGGAAACTCATGAGTAAAACTAAACTGAAAGCTTAAACAAATGGAGGGTAAATTCATTTATGTAATGAAGAACAGTAATTTTTTTAAAATAAATCTTGCAAGTGATCAATTCCTGCTTTTATTTTTGTTAATTAGTGCTTATACCTGGCACTTTAGGAAACTCGTGTGTGTGTGTGTGTGTGTGTGTGTGTGTGTGTGTGTGTTCATGTGTGTGTGTTCATGTGTGTGTGTTCATGTGTGTACTGTGTGTCACTTTACCTCATACGCTTCTGTGTGTGTAGATCTCAACAAATCCTGTGTTGTTTCTACTTCAGACCTGATGGTAAAGTTTTTCATATGCGTGTAAGAAAGAGGAAAAACAGAAATCTAGTGATGTTTTTACAGGGTTGTATCAGGAATTTGTTGACATAAATCTTATTGCTAGTTCAAGATTAAACAATCCATTAAGGGCAGAAAATAGTAGTGATCCTGTTTCAGTGCTAAGTCACCAGACAATGGAGACTACAAAGTCCAGCTGGAAAATTTGTGGTAAGTACATGTACACAGCAGTTTTCTTCTTTTTAAATATAACGATTTAGGGAAGCATTGTATTCAGATCGTACATTATAAAATCCAGTAGGGAGAAAATTTTTAAAATGTGAAGCTCTGTTCTGCTTAAAATGCAGTTAAGTCAGGTGTTAATTCAGTGCCAGGATGCAAAAAGATTGTGTAAAATATATTAAGTGCAGAAGTTAAGGAAGCTTAACTGTCATACCTTAAACTAGTCAGAATCAGGTTCACAAGGATACACTGTTATGAGGATGTACCATTTTATTTTTGTTTGCCTCTTCTGGTTTTGTAACCATGACACATGCATTACATTAATGTTGAGATCATTTGTTTTGCAGGTGTTGAAGGGGAGAAATTAGTGATGAGGAAAAATCTGGATCACATGGAGTAGTAGTGTTACTAATGTTATGTAGAATCTAACCAGAGTTTTGATCCTGACAGCAGGAACGTCAGTGACTAAAGGTTTGTGTAGCCGCTGCCGACTCCAATGTGAACAGACAAATTGATCACTTGCAAGATTCCTTGAAGATAAACGAAACTGACTCGAGTTTAAAGTAAATCTGCAAATGCATTGTTTATTTTATTGTACACTGGCTTACCTACTAGACTACTGTAACTTTAAAGTTCAATGACTGTGTGTGAATGTTGCCTGCTGATGTGGGTACAGCTGTGTGTGTGAGGGGGAGAGAGATTGTACGTGTGTGTGTGTGTGTGTGTGTGTGTAGAGAGAGAGACAATGACGCCCATATTTTGTTCACCTAATTCCCTGACAGCCCTTAAAAAGCCTTAAGTGTTTGGTCCTTGGACTTTCCTTTGAAAATGAGCATGGTTTTCATGAAAACTCCAAACAAGGAGAAAAAAGATGGTAAGAAAACACACAGCATTTTTCTCTGGTCTTTTTACTTTAATGACATTTTGTTGGGTAGATGAGAATTCTTTATTATGGAAAGCAAGAAAAGGAGTAATATTTTGTAATTATATATTTTAGCTATGTGTAGTTATGGAGTTGTAACATTTTCCCAAGTTTCAAAGCTTCAATTTGCAGTTGTGACTATTTATAATATTTGATTTGCTTGTTATTTAAGTTTTATTTTCATCTTTTTTCCTTGTACTATTGCTGTGAAACAGAAGATGATCATAAGCCTTTCTTTTGTGTCATCTTTGACAGATAAGAGGCAAGAGTGTGAGAGTTGTGCCACTCTTTTTGTAATATTGTAATAATAAAATAAAATTCTAATTTATGCTTTGAAATGAGTCTGGATGATCTGAACATTCATTTATTTGTCCAATCTGATAGCAGGTGTCTCCTTTCACATGAGCTTAGATACAGTAAGTACTGCCTGACTGTTAAGGTACGGTACTATCACACACATTTCTTACATAATCAGTCTAACAAGTGGCTGAATAGTCCACAAGGATTGTCTAAGCCACATATAATTTGTAACTGCGACAGCTGGTGTCGAAGGTGGTGATTGTTGCACCAATTGCTGTGTTTTCATGCCATTTTTATGAGCCTGCATTTGCCAAGGAGAAAAAGGAAGCTGAGTAGACAAAGCAAGCTGTGAAATCTGCGGGACTATCTGGCTGCAGTAGATTTAGCTTGTCTGGCTGAGTCAAACTCAATAGGAGGGCAAAATCACCACCTCTGTGATCAGTACTGCTCCATAAAGAGTTGTGAGCATTGACAGAGTTGCCTTAGGTTGCAGCCTTTGTGCGGAGAAGATGAGCTTCCTGTGGCAGAAACAGCATTTACAGGAGCCTATAACAGTTTAAAGTATTTGAAATGCATGATTTCTTTGGTATTTAAGCAGCACTTGTTGCAGCATTCAGCATTAATAACTTTTTTGTTTTTTTTGTACACACCATTATGTCAGTCATATGGACAACTGTTTACAATAGCTTTCTCATCACTGTTCATATCAGTCATGTACTGCCTCAGAGACTACATTTAAAATCAACCAGACACTGGAGTATCAGTCAGAATGACAGTTTAACCATTTGGCAGTTAAATTTATTGGGTAACTGAAAATGAATACAGTCTTTCAGTCTGAATGCCTCATTGCTCAGGTCAGCCGAGCTGTACAACCCAAGTGAGGCACTCTTTAGACTGGTGTTGTGCTCAGAGGAACCATCTCTGTGGACTGATGTGTCTGCCGCGCGACTAAGCCTCTCCAGCTCCTCCCTGTGGAAAAGGGAAGAATTTCTGTCACAGAGAAATACTCTCACTCATTCCAGAAACTTTAAGTCTGCTTCCATGCTTCCACACCTCGGTTTGTGCTGTTCAGCGAGGTGTGTGATGAAGGCTGTTGGACACGATCGCAGCAACCGGGATCCTCATTGATTTTGCCCAGGTTGGTATTCCATTTGTTCCAGTTGACTTCCTCCACTCTAAAACAAGAGGACACGTACTCAAATTACTGTCTGCTGTGTGACACATCAATCAGCTCTCAGAGGAGGCGAATTAGTGAAGAACAGTGTGCTGCACATCAATCAATCCTGCTCACATGGCTGCATCTTTGGTTAAATCTTTAAGCCTAAACCTGCTTTATTATCATCAAATCTTTTACAGCTCAGGGGATCAGCCTGTAGAGGTTGAATAGTTTTGATGAAAGGGACTTTTACTTTTTAATGGAAAAAAGCTGAGAGATACAGTAACTTGTAAAAAGGGCAAGAAGCACTGTAACATAGCAGACCATGCCTCACACCCTAATCTGAATACTGACCACAGCAGCCAAAACCTTAATTCTGATGTCAGTTCCAGTGCAAGACCTCTGACAGCACCCTGCAAGAAACCTGATACAAACCCACCTGATACTTATGGACACATGCAGATATATAATCTCTCTGCACTGTTGTCTCATTTTAGTATCTGGCAGGTACAGTGCACACTGCAGATTACTTAAGGTTGCTTTATTATATTTTACCCTACAGCCCCAGAAAACATGCAGTATAGCACTAATATGCATGATCATATCAGCTGATTAGCATTAAAAAAAATCTAGACTCTGACACAAAGCCCCTCTACCAGACAGTGTCAAATATAACAAGAAAACAGTCATGCTAGCAGTTCTGAGGCCATCCCTAGGCACAACTTTGCTTTGAGCTGAATGCTAATGTATGCATGCTAACACGCTAGTAATGACTCGTCACACTGACGACTGGCATGTTGACATATGGCATGTATTTTATGCCGGATGTCCTTCCTGACGCAACCCTGAGTCGAACCCGGGGCGCCGCGGCGAGAGCGCTGCGCCTTAACCACCAGCTTACCAGGGATGGCTAGTAATTACGATCACAACATGCTGATATTAAACAGGTATCATGCTTAGAGTGTCCACAATCTTAGTTCAGGTGGTTAGCAGGCTGACATTTGCTGATTACTAGATGAGTAAAAAAAAATTTAGTTATTGCAAATCATCCTGAAGGGAACATAATTTCTGCTCTAAAGTTCATGGAAGTCTACAACAGTCTAACTCAAACCCACAAATATCAAACTCATGATGGTGCTAGAGGAAAAGTCAGGTGATCACCCAAGTCATTAGGATTCATAATCTGGGGACCATGAATTTATGGACAGAGGCTTATTGCAACAGCTCATGCAACTTACATGGAATGTCCTGAACCCAAATTCATTAGGACACAGCAATGGGACGTTCAGAGTCTTATTTGTGATGGGGCATTATGAAAATGAGCATCTATTTACATCTATGTCCAATGGTGCCCCCAAGGGGTGGCAATTAATAATTCATGATTTTAAACAGTATATGCAATTTGTCTTAGACTAAAATATAGTACCTTAACCTTTCTATTAGCTTATCTTAAAATTCCTTTATGCTGTATAGCCATTTTAGTGTGCCATTGCAAAATTTTCACTGGCCCCATCTGCCACCCATTAAATATTTTGTGCAGGAACCACTGTCTGTGTCTGAAATATTGTCCATGCAGCTATTGACAGAACCTTTTTAAAACATGCCAGTCACCGACTGTATGTTCATCTAAACTGAACAAAATAAACCTGAAACACCAGCGACGGTCATCTCCTTCTGCGGTGCCCAGGTTTTTCTCCACACCACAGCGAAGCCTCTTTCTCAGGCAGAAAGGCAGCCTTTTCTCCATGTCCAGGATAGTGACGGCCCTCTGAAATCAGTGACAGAACTTTAATGTGACAGAAAAGGAGCATGAAGAAGTTTAGGAATATAACTACCCCCTTATCACATGTCTCACCTGCAGCTTCCAGATGCTGGCGCTCTCCATGGTGGTCTTTTCCACAGTGCGGTTCATGAGGGCAATGAGCATGTTCAGCAGCAGGATGTAGGTGAGTATGATGTAGCCAATGAGGAGCAGGTAGAAGACCCCCTTGTACTGGTAGCCCTCAGTGAACTCCATGTCGCCCATGCCGATAGTGAACTTGAAGAGCTCCAGCGTGGTGTAGGAGATGTTTCTGTAGGTGGGTTTTACACACTGCTCCCCAGGGTCAACGGTAACAAACATACTACGCCTCTTATTTGCAAGGTCAGAGGTGTTTTTCATGGGAGGCCCCTCATTTGCACTGTCAGAGGTGTTTTTCATGGGAGGCTCTATTAGCAGGGTGACCACCGCTGTCACAGGAGATCAGAAGAATCACAGACAGTACAGCTTCAGTTCATGGAACACAATTTTATCACCATAGGTCTTTTAATTGTTGTGGAAAGTAATATATTTACAAAATGTAGGGTGGTACTACTTTTCAAATCAATAAAACCGCAGTAAAAAGACTTGATATAATGTGAGTCAGAAAGAATTTTAAGAGTATCAGATGTTTTGAACAATTATCTTCATTTTCGGAGGAAAAAAAAAGTACCTGCTGAAAATCCAAGGAGGAAGACGCTGTAGACAAAAAGAAAGCGTATAATATCACCAAGGATCATCTACAAAGAAGAAAAGAGACAAAAGGTGTCAGAGATGAAACTGGCTGTTGTGTGTGGCATTGTGTGTTTCGTGTGTGGCGTGGACTACCTTCTGTATCATGACACTGTAGATGCCCATATGTCTGGAGCCCCTGGAGTAGTAGAGCAGGTTCACCCAGCTGAGAGCAAGACACAGCACCAGGAAGCTGATGTACTCCTGCTGCCCACATAGGTATAACCCAGCCGAGACCAGGAACAGGATGCCCTGCACAAAACTACAAACAGCAGAGAAACCACAGCTTTGTGACTGTCTAAAAAAAAGACACATTTTAAAGTAATAAATCATCCTCAGATGTTTTAAAGCTGTTTCCATGTACAGTAAATGATATGTGCTGTTCAATAAACACTCCTGGGAGTGGGAGCCAGTACAATTTCTGCATCACGCTTTTGGCAGTAGTTATGCAATTTTCCTTGGGTGCACATCTTTTTTGTGCATTGGTGTGTTTGGTATTTTCCTGCTATGAGTGAATGGGCTTAGGCTAAGGTTGGAGGAGAGGCACAGTTGAGGCCATGTGTATGCTAGTTAGGCAGTGCAGTGCAATTTTGGTGCTCGTTTTGAAATAGCGGTAACAATAACACCTGCTCAGACTACCTGTTCGACACATTTGCAGGCACATTTGCAATTTACCTTACAAGCATTCAGGCTGGGAAGCACAAGACAAGATACCCAAATGTATTTTAATGGCCACGCTAACTTAAAACTGACTCTTAAATCCACAACTGATCTGTTGGAATTCACTCTGAAAAATGTATTGCATATCATGAAGATTATTTTTAAATAAGATAAATACTAGTCCTCAGTATATGGCTATAAATATGACTATGGTCAAACAGTGTTGGCGAGAGTCAGGACGCACTATCTGTAGCCTACTTACAGGACACAGCCTGAGATGATCTGCAGGCAGTGTTTGGGAATCCAAACCCAAGTTGAAAAATTACACATAATAGCATATGAAAGCAGCTCATGAGCCAAGATAAATAAACACCCTGCAGGCAACAACATTGATCCTGGTACCAGCAGGTAAAGTCAGTCTGACCTCACTGTGGCTGCTGTCACTGTTAAGTTAGTTTCTTCAAAGAACACAGACATCCAGTTGAAGTCATTAAAACAGATGTCATGTTAACAAACTCTCATTTTAGCAAGTCAGTTAGGACATGTACTTTATGCATGACACAAGAAATAAAAGCTTAAATAAATCTTTTTCTCTAATATTATTCTGAGGTTTCACATTCTTAAAATAAAGCAGTGATCCTAACTGACAGGAAACAGGGAACGTTTATAGGATTAAATGTGAGGAGCTGTGAAAAACTGAGTTTAAATGCATTTGGCTAAGGTGTATGTAAACATCTGACTTCAACTGTATGTACTGTGTGAATGTTCCCATTGTTCAATTTGAATGTTGTGAAACTATTAAAGAATCAAAATATAATTATATAATTCTTAAAAACTTCTTAGGGTTTGAAAACTTTTCATAGGAGCTCATGTAAATCTGTCCTTAGATGTAAAATTCTACCCTGTTTTTCGGTTTAATCCCTGAAAACATCAGTCTCATAATAACTACTGTATGTACACTGATGATATCTTTCCCAGCAACATTTAAAAAGTTGCTCCTGAAACCCCAACTTAATATTTTCAAAGAGCAAATTAAGACCCTCAGAAAATTTTATTGTCAACACCCGGTGGTTTAAATTTTCACTTGACAGCAGTGATGTAGAAGCGCACGATAGGATGTGTCATCACAGTTGAGCGTGGTCAAGATGCAACAGACCCCACCCAGGTGAAACAGAAAGTGTCAACAGGAGTGCAGTGAAACACAGTGTTTCATTTTGGTGTTGAATTACTTTTTTCCACCGCACACACTATTCTCAGTGACATTACAATAGAGTGAAGTTTAAGGGCACCTCAGGAAGTTTTTGACTGCTATGGAGCAGTGTTTTTATGAGCTGGCCCTGCTTTCATTTTTGAGAACATGTACACATGTGAGCACTTGATGCCATAATATATGTTCCTGCCACTGAAACACAACAAAGGCAGTGATGAAGAAGAGCTAGTTAGCAAACATGGATATAAATGGTGCACGATCTAGGAAAAGCTTTCCAAATGCTGGACACATAAAGTCTTTTGGTGAAAAACACAACTCCTTTGTTTATGAGAAAACTCCACGGGGCACATTTAGCTTTGACCAAGTCTGAGAAATAAGATTTGCTACTTACAAAAGAATCTCATAGTAGCCATCAATCAGCAAGGTCTGCAACTTTGGGCGCTTCCTCTTCATGTCTATGATCTAGAGATTTAGATCTATAAGGTTTGTGATATACAGTATCATATGACTGGAACACAGCAGAGATATGAGGCAGTGGTTATTAATTTAAAGCATCAGAGTGCCTACGTACCCCTATAATAAAGAAATAGCAGTTTGCCAGTGCTGTCACTAGCTGGCCTGAGACATACAGGTAATCCACTGTGGTGTGCTCGAGGGGAAACGGCAACTGTGGGGCAGAGAACACGCATAAGTACAAGTACGGGATGGCTAGACAGATTAGACACACACTTTGTAGCAGCCAGCTCACCTCTCCATTCTTCCTATTGTAAGACACAGTGGTGAAGATGACCAGGTAAAGGAAGTAGCTCAGTAAATTTAAGAAAAACATTCGACCTGCAAACTTCTTCCACTTTTCTTCCAGCAGTCGGCTCAGAGGCTCCATCTGGAGCATCTCGTGACGGTTCTGAGAGGGCACAGGAGCAGACAGATGTTTGAGTACAGAATAACGACAGCAGCTGCTCTGTCCAGACTCGTAATGTTGGGACTCACAGGAATGTCACTGCCGTAGATCAGTATCTCCACAACGGAGTTCTCCTCGTACGAGTCCACAGAGGCCAGGTCGTACAGGAAGCAGTGAATAGGCCCGTAAACCCATTCAGTGAATTTACGAGACAAATGCTTGTTGTGAGCCTCTTGAAACTCCCGTTTCAGGATGTGTGCAAATATCTGCAGACAAATGAGAAGGAAAGCAAGAAGGTTCAGTGTCCCTCAGGTATTTCAACATCAAGGTTGAAACTGCAGACTTGTCAATAGGCATCAGAAGTGAAGAAGCATCCTGAATGACTTCATGTCTTCAAGGGGCCACAGTTTCCGTTAAATAGATTATTAATTCACCTTAGAAACATTAACTGTTTATCAGCCTGAATTACCCACAGGGTGAGTGATGCGTTTGCACTGGGGAACATCTTAGGACCTAAAAGCTACATTTTTTAAAATCTTATGTAATTTTCACAAGTGCCCAAGCATAAGAAAATGAAAAATTAATAACAGACCTGAACTCAGTGGAGCATGAGGGCCCCAGTTACATTGTTGCCACCAGGCCCTGTATGTTTCACTTTAGCTGTGTCTGTACTGACCCCTATCTTGCCTGTCTTGGCAGCCATTTTGAGAGGCGTTAGCCCATTTTGGTTCTCGATGTCCTCCAGCTTCAGCTTCGAATGCAGTCGGGCATTGGTCTTAAGGATGCGGTCATACATTTTGGTGATGAACTCTGTGTTATCTTTGGAGTTGTCAGCCACCATCACCAGAGCATGCAGCACCATGTTGCCATGAGAGTCTCTCAGCTTTGCGTCTGCTTGCTGGTACTCATTCTCCATAAGGAAGTCCACGATGTTGGGCTGGTTGGTGCAGGCTGCCAGAGACAAAGGCAGCTCACCTGATAGCAACACAGAGAGGGAGTTCTTTCAGTGGCTGATCTTCTTGTACGGTTTTTGTTGCTGTTATAGTGCTTGCCATGTCTACATTCATAAAGGTACAAGCCTGATCCTGACAGCAGGGCAGTGAGACAGACAAATTCCTACTATCTTTACATAAATGTTTAAAGATGTAACAATAACATTAATGTCTTCTTTAAGAGAAATATTAGGCATTTACCCCAAAGGTTGAATATACCCTGTGGAGCTTTTGACTACTAGTTCCACATAAACCATCTGCTCTGCTGAGCAACTCCCTGTATTGTTTGTGCTGTGTTGTGTGCACAACCAAGTGTCTTTTCTAAGAACCAGGTTTCCCGGTTATCTTTAAATTAACTACATTTCCTGGGAATTGATGTTCTGGATTTGAGGCTTTTCTGGGTTTTATAGAGATACCTCAGTTATCTTTTATCTTTTGAACAAATCACTGTGCAAGGACACACATACAGTATAGTAATACAAGTCAATAGCTGGAGGTGATGATATACATTAAAAGAGAGCAATTTGCCAATAAAAGAACAACTGCAATACACTCTAAACATGATGCATACTTTAAGGGGGTATGGCATCAATGACATTTTGTTTACACATCTTGACATTAACCACAGTACCATGCCTGTGTCTCTGGAGGAATCTTTGAGAAGTTTCTGAAAATCTGTCTTATAAAATAGGAGTTTCAGATTTGAAGGAAGAGGACCTTTAGGAGGAAGGTAGGGTTCAATGAGAGACTACTGAGTTGCATTATGAAAAATGCAAGGTCCTGCTTTTGGAGAACCATACCAAGGACTAAAGTTCAGGATATCTCTGCTTCTGCTGCATTGATTTTAGCTGTTCTTATTTTAATTTGCCAAAAACTATCTCATACTGAGTGATACATCTCAGTTGATGGCCAGTGTGTGAGGCTCCAAAGAAGGCTGCTCCTCTCTTCAACAGCATGTACTCACCAAAGTAAAAACTGGGTCCATCATGTGGCTGGAAGAATTTCCCACAGGCTTTGGCGTGGACATCTGCTCCTTTACTGACCAGCAGCTGCACATAGGGAAGACTCCTCCTCTCAATGGCTATATGGAGAGCTGTTTGGCCTGTCATAAATGTAGACAGAGTGGGGTCACATGAGAGCGGATTATGTTAAATTCAAGCTCCCAAAATCACAAACTAATTTACCTTTGTAATAGCTGTCGGTGTAGGCTGCATTCACAAACTCTCTGATGTCACCCAGCCTCTCTGAGATGCCGATTAACACCTCCACAGTCTCGTTCTTGCCATCTTTGAGGTGGAGTAGAGCCTTCATCAGGGCAGTTTTCCCATAGGACCTATCTGCAGGCATAACCAAACATTCAGGGAGTTAACACACAGGTCATCAGCTCACACTTTGGGGCAACTACTGCATTGTGGGGCCTCTCACACTCACACAAGGAGTCAGAGAGTTTCTTCATGTTTTGGTGCAGGTACTGCTCCAGGCCATCCAGGCTTCTGACATCCCTGTTGGCCACTGCTTCAAACATTTTATTGATGTTAAATGTCTGGCTCTCTCTCTTCTTAATGTTCTGCTCCTCACCTCGAATCTTTCTGCAAACGACATGTATATTTCACAGACAGCAGGGTTACAAACATTCATGAGTGCAAAGGTCAAGCAGCTCCACACCATGTAAATCAGCACTCTGGGGTTGGATAATACACAGCGCCTGGGATATAATGAGGATTTTAAATCATCATATTATCATTGCATGGAGAAGCTCACTTGTCAAATCCGAGATCTATTCTGAGTTGAGGCTTGGGCTTCTCCATTTCCTCCTGGTAATCAGTGTCCATGGGAGCCTTTGGGGCCTCCATATCCAAACTCAAAGCACAGACCAAGGCATCTTTCTTCTCTTTCTTCTTTTTTTGTCGCAATTTCTCCTCCTCTGTCCTGTCGTCTGTCTCCAGGCGGAATCCAAACATCTCTGACATCTCCATCTTGGCCTCTCGCTCCAGGGGTCTGCATGATGATATGGCACAAGTGTATATGATTCATGCAACAACCAACAGATCTTGTTAAGTTACTTCCACAGCTAGGTGAATTAGCTGAAGAAAACTAATCCACCACCAAACAGATTTCCATTTAAAATGGTGACCAATTTAATCTTCTTTAGTGTGGAAAACTGTATTTTCTGTCTGTTAGGATACACCCAATTAATAAAAGGATGTTAAAAACACTAATTTGTGCATCACAAAATATTTTATTCCAAACAACCTGAGGCAAAAATTACACTGAACATTTCACAACTCTGTCAGTTGGTCACACATATGTACATGTTACACTGTTTTAATGGGACATGAGCCAAAAGCATTTGAGAGCCACTACTGTAAACAATACAGGACTAAGTATTGTGTTAGCTCTTTAACATCCCTTAGAGCGTATTTGATCAGCTCTGAAACAAGTTTACCAGGGGTTCACCTCATTGGCTTTTAAAGGCACAGGCATATTATCAGACGCGATGCTTCACCCTCTGTTACTAACAAAGGAGCATATTTTGAAGATGAGTTTCATAACAGCATCAGACACAGCCCTGAATGTGGTAGCCACTTCTTTCTAGAATAATGAAATCATTTACAGTTAATCTGGAAAATGAAGTGAAACCCTACAAGGTTCAGCTGATCACAGTGAAATGACAGTTTAATGCAAAGGAAGGATAATGAAAATCAACACTAATTTTTTAAAGCTTCATGTTCCCCTTTTCAGTCAGAAAAAAGGGGAATCAGTGACTCACAGGAAAGTCTCCAGACTCCAAGATCATCACAAGGACAACACAATAACACAAAAAGACAAGAAAACTATTAGTCATACCATGCTAAACATTTACTTTCATGGACAAAACATGAGCTACAGTATTCGGCATAAGGACTTGAAAAGTTCCCACTGACACAAACCATTTTTTGTTATCCTAAACACCAATGTATCATGTCCTGCTGTATTATTTATGGATCGATTGATTCCTGATATACTGAAATGCAAGCCTTGGTTTTCAAGGCTGCATAGATGTGTTCAAACGTACAAACACAATTAAAAAATGTGAAAAAATAGAAAAACTACATTCAAACACTGAGGATTTTGCTTATAATACTAAAGATGTTGGACATATTCTTCATGACCTGAAGCAATCTAATACTTTGAAACTAAATAAAACCATAACAGATCATTTGACTCACCACAAGTAAATCTTCCTCTTCAAGATTGCTTAATGGATTCAAAATCTGACCAAGTCAAAAACAAAGCAGTACGCAGCAATGCATCTGGTAGAGATCAGTGTATCTGAATCCCATTGTGCTGCATCTTAAGATGCTAAATGTGGCATAGATGAGATAAACAGGAGCAAGCCAGAAGGAGACAGAGTGACCCGCCCTAGAGCATATCAGAGCACATTACTGGAATCCTGAGTGCTTAAGAGGATGCTGTATTGACCATGTCTGCTCACGTAATGACAGTAGAAAACCCCATGTATGTAGTGCAGTCACTATCAGTAAGTATATTATCAGACATACAAATGAGGTCTTCATAGAGGAGCTGAGGAGCTACCACTCAGCAACAACACAGTATAATCTTCTGAAGCACTTAGCTAGAAAGAAGGTTGTGTCACCACAAAAAATATAATATCCTGTCTTCATGAAAACAAAAATCTAAAAGAAACTTACCCCTTCTGAAATACTTCTTTCTTGCTCACTTTTTTTTTTCTTTTGTCACTTGGGTAAAATATTTCTTCTTTTTTTTTAGTTCATCAAGTTGCTGTGTCTCATCTGCCTCTTTCACTTTAACGGGTGTGTGATTTTTGTGTTGCTATGGTCCTGTGACTGTGCGTGTATGATTTCAGTGTTGTTGTGGTCTTGTGACCGTGTGTGTTTGCAAAGCCTCTGCCTACCAGTGCAGCTGTAGATCTGTATTCATAATTTCTTTTCTTAAAATTACTTCCTTGTTTCACAGTCAAACTGGGCACAAAGGCCTAAACAAAGTGAACTGGTTACTGTTAGCACAGGATGTGGTTAGTATCTAACATATCAGCCTAGCAGAGATGGCAGAGCAGCCAGAATGTGGTCTGTGATCATGTGTAACCAGTTGCTACTTCATCTAAGGTGATTCTCAACTTTTTAAAATGCCTTTAGTGCTTTCTATTTGAAACGGGAATCCTGGAGACTTTGTCAAAGCTGAACTGAAGAAGCAGAAAAGGTTTGCAAAAACAAAAATTCTGCAACATTTAAAAAATATTTCAACAGTTTGAGATGATTTATTAATACTGCTTTATTTTTTTATTTTTATTTTTTACCATAACCCCATTACTCCAAGGGGTGAACTACCAATAGAAAAGTATCTGCATATTTACTGTAGCTATTTTAACAGAAAGCCGCTTGAGTAGTACAATGAATGCACCTTAATAACACAGATGTCATGTTATTTTTCCAGTCCCAACTGGTATTTACTTGTAGAAACATTACTGTACACACTCATTATTATTAAAAAAATGAAGCCATCAACAGCATTGCTGCTGTAAATATTCCATTTAAAATGCCGGTTTGCCATGATTAGCATCAGGCATCATCTAATGCAAAATCTAGACTAGACTACACAGCTGCATGAATGAAAAGGAGTACAGGTGCTCTTTCCATGCGACCTGTATTACCAATCATGATTAGCGTGTAAGCTGTCTATCTTCAGTTTAGCCCAGGTTTCCACAAAGCTGGCTGACTTTTCCTAGAGCTAGCTCACCATAGTAACTCATGCTGCAGGGCTAACATGCTCCAAAGCAAGTTAACTTCAGAGCATCAGGTCAAAGTAACGGCCAAACTACTGGCTGATCCAATTAATCCAATTACAGGAAAATTCACTCCTTATTCTGGCATCAACTATACATCATGTTTACAGTTTAAGTGACAAAGTTATATCAAAGATAACAGGAATGTGTGTCCACTCCAGTAATAAAATAATGTAGATCACCACACTGCAACACTCTCATTTCCCACAGGATTCCTGTCTCAATCATGTAATCATAAAGGGATTCCCTTGTTGGTTACAAGTCTCTTTCAAAGTTGGTCACAGAGGACCATGGCTACACCGACAGCAGAGTCTGCATTCTGTCCGTATACCACCGGCTGAGGAAATGCCTTCTCCACTTCCTGTCTGAGCACCTCATTGCGAGTGAGTGCGCTCCCACTGCCCACGATCCTGTTGACTCCTGCCTGCTGCAGATACTCTGCAGACATCATGGAGGTGATGTTGTCCAGGACTCCGCGGCACAGTGCCCTGGTCACATTACCCAGAGAGAGATTGGAGGCGGAGATGTTGGTTACCTGACCAAGGCAGAGAGGGCTGTGTCTCTCTCCCAGGATAGTAGGACTCACCCTCAGGTCACTGGTTTCCTGGTTCAGGGCGCAACCAATCAGCTTCTCATACAAGCATGCATCACTCAGCTCTATACCTGTGAAGGATGGAAAGGAACAAATAAACATCTGGAGGAAACATATTGGATGGAAAGGATCTACTGTATGTATCATTTTGCCATCACTTCGCTTTCATCAGTTCTGTTATGTACACTGTCTGTGGTCAGCACAGTAGAAACAAGGTTTCACTTTCCATTTTGCTCATTGTGGATTTGCTCTCTATGGATTAATTAACTTGACATGTACTTTGAAAATTCTGTGCAGAAAATTACAGACACTCACTCCATCCTCAAATGAACACTGCCCTCTCAGGGCTGTCACTGCTGCTTATTTTCCTCCCAACTATTCACCATGCATCATTTCTAAATACAGTTCGGGTATGAAATAGAGCATCCTGTTACAGTCATATTGTAAGCCTAATTTTCTATCATTTTAACAAGATTCAGGTATTTAGAGACACCTGAATGTGCACTGATCAGTCTGGTGTGTATCTGACTGGGCTAATTTAGTTCTTGAATGGTGACATTCTACCTCCTGAAATATCATAAATAACAAATTGTATCTGAAGATAAGAGACTACAGCCATGCTAGCAACACTGTACAGTACTTAGGCACAGCAGTGCTTTGCAAAGTACTAACATCCTCACAAGGACAATGCTAACATGCTGATGTTTAGCGGGTACAATGTTCACCATCTTAGTTTAGTGAATTAGCATGCTCGATTTTGCTACAAAAAACTGAAACATTAACCTAATGATGTGACTAAGAAGGCATGAATGTATGCAACAATTTTTGTGGCAATCCATCCAGTAGTTGATCAGACATGTCAGTGTGGACTAAAATGATGGACTGATTGACACTGCCATACCTAGAGCTATCAGCATGGCTAAGAGAAAAAACTGAGCTTGGACAAAGGTAGTTACTGCCACTGTAATTAGATCCCACTGAGGTACAGCATATTTACCTCCTCCAATATCATTAATTCATGTGTACAGTAGATTAAATGATTTTTAAAAATACATGCCAAGGTCTTTCATCCAGGCAGTGAGCATCTCCACGAAAGTGGCTAGTACATTCCCCCCATTGAGCGAAGCTGCCACCGCCAGGTACAAGGAGTCAAAGTAAGGAAAGAAGGAGATGGAGGAGGCAGTCTGAGGAGAATCTGGAGGTCTGAAGTCAGCTGGCATGGTGAAAGTGAGCTGGGCGGAGGTGCTTATGTTAAGAACTGAAAAATGAGGTAAAGGATACAAAGCGTATGAGCATAAGCATATCAGCAGAAAATATGACATGCAAGAGACACTGATGACACTTAATCTTATAATGCACTTCCATCACATTTCTGAACATATTTACATGACAAAAAACTTCAGTTAACTATTATAAATTGAAGCATTAGTGTATTAGCAGAACACGTCTAATGGATGCAGCATGTCATTAAGAAGTGACTACATGGTGCAGCTAATGGATTTTTTTTTCTATACAGTGAGTGCATTACATGTGGTCCCAGACTTCCTGTTTCACCTGCGTCTGTCCGCACACTCATGCAGGAGTAAACAGAGCACTGGAAGTCTCCCAGGGCTGCCCCTACTG